CTAGCGGCAATAAGTATTTAAACCAAGTATAGCAACGGCACAACCATAAGCACCTGGCGCTGTTTGCCTTGAAGCAAGAAACACTTGCTTGGAGTGGGACCCCACATCAGCCAGCTATGATGCCCTTCGCCACAACCGGGGTCATGAGGACCCGTCAAAACCCTGAGACACTGCTTTGCCGGCCACCCACGTGGAATTGGCAAGCCGGGGTAGCAGTGAAGCCAGATGCTACTCAAGTTGACCTACAAACACGGCCAAAGCTCACCAAATCATAACGAACCGTCGAAGTTACGTCTATTAGGTCGCACTGCTTCTTTCTCAGATGCCTCCAGTAACATCTACCTCTATCAGACCCATCCATTTCAAATTCTCTGTGATTGGGAAAGATTTCCCGAATACACGAAGTCGTTATGCAACAGAAAGGCTCTGTTAGTTATTCAAGAGAAACTGCTCCCCAACGTTCATTCGTACAAATTTGAGGAAGATGGTTCGTGGTAATCCGTCAGGCGTTCTGCTTACTTCGTAACTTCTTTTACATGCTGCTAAGTTGATGCAGCCGTTACTGATTGACATGCTTCCAAGTTTGCTATTCGTCTCTCACCCAGGCGCGCTCCTTCATCGGCTTTGCTTATGACTTAGCTCCAGGATCCTTGATGTAGGAGCGGACAACGCACTAGCTCCCTCCAAATTGCTTGGCGAGCTGTTGACTGTTGATGAGTGCGGCATCTTACAGAGCCCGGCACATGATTTATCTTGTAAATACACGAGGATCACGTGACACGGCGACAACCTATTTTCAACTAATTATGTTGAGCACACCACGCCGACTAAGAAGAGGAAAAATTTTGTGAGCCGTGTACTTGGTCTGGACGTATGAAGTAACGCTCAGAACCAAACTTTACCTTTTGCATTTAACTTCACTTTATATTTTACGGTCACTTTTTTTAAACTATAGGTGGCACAGATTCTTGCATGACGAATCTGATAGAGCACACAGCGAAATTGAGTGTACGCATTAAGTAATGATTTAGTGAATACTGGTAGGACGAGTAGTAGTGGAACTCATAGTATATATGCATGTATAGAATTCTTATTCATGTTTTATATATACGTATATATAGGTTAATCACCTAATTTTGAGAAAAGGCGAAAACTCCCGAATTTTGACAAGACATAAACTTTCCGTGGGTGTAATACGTAAACGATGACACAACCTGTAACCTAACAGTCTCTGCCTTCAATGTCGAATACAGGACGGCATCAATGATTTCAGAGCTCTGGCATAATCATCGCAAAATGGCAGCAGGTCCTTAGAATAGACTGATCGCATCATAAGTGTTGGCTCAGTCTGAACAAAGCGGATATTCCAATTAAACAGTCTCTATTCTAATTCAGGCTGATGCATTTTAACAGCTAACGCTACTTGTTTAAAATCGCTTCTTAAATGTAATGTCCATGTCCTATTCAGAGAATCTCCTAAAGGCAACCTTGCATGGCGAATTATAAACTAGACTTACATTGTGCAAGCATACCACTTCGATTTTTTACATCTTTTCGAGAGAGAAGAGCTTTGACCCGATATAGAATGCACGTCTCTTTTTCCTTTCACGAAATACATGTATATGGGTTTTATATTGATTGCAACTTTCTTTCGATGAGGCGTGGGTTCATTGTTCGATTATTAATGTCCGAGTGGTGACGTTACCGATATGAGGCAACAAGACTTCACCAAATAATTATTGACACAAAAAACTTGAGTAACGCATGAAGGTAGAAATGGTTATAAAAACCAAACAAATCAGTCAAGACATTAGACTACAAGCAGAGTGTAGTAGAGTCCGCGGAAAGAAAGGGGGAGCCGGCCATGCAGGCTTTGCAGCTACTGAGCTACTGAAGTACGAAACACTAAGGCTCAATCGAAGGGTACTCACTCAGGGTATGGTGATTGTGAGGAGATCCACTAGCACTGAGTCTGTGGGAGGAATGCTAGAGATCGGCGAATGTTCTCCTCTCTATGAGCGTGTTTTTTACACCTCCCCACGCCTTGACTTCCCAAAGATAAACTTCGCCTAAGGCAGCTGATCTCCGCTTGATTATTTCAGTCAATTTTTGAAACCATCTGCAATAACCTGGTTGATTGTCGACTCCCTGCGGTGGGATGTTACTTCTTTTCCGTCGGACCCCTCCTTTGTATCGGCTCTCCCTGTCCTACAATCTATTTATGTTATGTTATGTTATATCTGTATATATAGATACGCATATGTTCAAAAGAGGTTTCACAGGTTAAAGAATCAGGGGAGAAGGTCTGGGGACTTTAATCAATCCCGTCTGAGGGATGCGTTCTAGCATTCGACTTCCATTCAGAATCGCTGTGGCTCAGTGGCCCGTACAATGACTCGGTGTGGCCAGTCGATGTACAAATCAGTACTTTTATCCTCCCAGGCGATCCTTTACCAATTATTCCACCTCGGAGGTATTGAAGGCCTGATTGGCTTAGGCGGATATCGATTAGAGTTCAAGCTCGTGACTCCGTGACCTTTGTAATGTATTTGTACACCTGGTTTGAATCTCAATTCAACCCTCCATTTTATAATCGTGTCCGAACGGTGGTTCTCATAGAAGAGAAAAGGCTTGTGACGTGGTAGTGATCAAGTGCAGTCTGAGATGGCTTGCAAAGTGGCCTTCATGGTACTATCCAGTGGCTTGCAGCTCAGCTGCATAGAGTTGTTAGTAAGAACAAGGATTATTTGTAGCTTTTGCTGAACTTTATATCTTTTGATACGCTCGTGAGGTAAATATCGTCCGGGCAACTATGTATTGTAGTGACAAGACTGCTAGTAGTTTTTGATTTAATCAGCGGATTGCAGCGAATCAATCTGTCGCAAACCGTCAGTTGAGATTGAACTGATAGCGTTGTTGTAGTGAATTTGTAAATGGGAAGCGAGCGGTCTCATGGTATGTGAAAAAGTGCTGGAGTGTCGTCCATAAATAGCAGTGATCATAAGATAAATGCTATAAAAAATTGGCTGATACAGTGCGCGTGCCCAACAATAGCAATGTTGTCCCATGTCAAACACTTGTCCGAAGATATACTAGCCCCCCCCCCTGTGTTGGGCGGAGGTTAATCCATCTTCGGACAAATGTTTGACATGCAACAATATTGCTATTGTTGAAATAGAATATGTTAGATGTTGGTGAAATCGGTCAATAGATGATGTAGCTTCTACCACGATCCTGAAACTCGCTGTAAAGAGAGGAAAAAGATGCAGAGTTATCAAACTCTTCAGAGAGTGGCAGGGCTATTTTCTGCTTCAACCCTCAAATCGCACTAGCTTCGCTGTTGTTTGAGGAGAACAATGCGAAAGCTACCCAACACGAAGTTTATTCCTAGCTAGCGATTAATTCGCATTTAAGACCTCCTACATTACGAATCTTCCGGTAGGTGATCAAATGCGTGATAAATACGTAATCCTTCTGAGGAACAAACATGTCGCCACAGCAGGAAAAATTAAATATATCAATTTCTTAGGTCAAGTGCATATGCCCAGTGTTTCTCGTTTGAGCATGTAGTAGTATTTTAAGATCTTAAGAGGTAGTGGCATAACCATGCGTATGTACCATACGACATCATCTACACTTCGAATGAGCCATCGTATACCTTCAGCCGCTATAGCATGCGTTAGCAATGAATAAGAAGAAGTACTGACAAAGATGGGAGAAGGCTGGATGGAACACTCAGTCCTTTCTGTCCGCTTATTCACCTAACGCTTCCCTTCAATGATCGGTCAACTCTGTAAATGGAGTACTAATTAAGTTTCAAAACTTTTTTTTTCTTGATTTCGGGTTCTAGCACAGTTGTTGAAATTTAAACATAAGTTCTCGAGACGAGTATTTTTGAACAAAGATGTTGTTTATTTCCAGAGAGTACTACCTCGGTGGTGCCTATTCAATAAAGATCCCAATGCCAAAATGTTTTTTTCAGAGGTGAGCTCATTTAGTTATTTGGCACATTCTTTATTTACTTCTCAAACCTATCTTCTTATACCTGAGTGCCATTCAATTTGGTATCCCCACTACATAGAATGGACATTCAAACGAATCGTATAACTATTGAATTCTATATTAACTATACCGATATTACAGCCCTTATATATAGTATAGTCGTTTAACTTCTTCGTTACTATGATTTTGCCACAACCACAGCTACACGACCGAATAGAAGAGCTTTATTGCGTCAGGCAGAGAAAATCTCAAACTTTGGTAATTAAACCATAAGAACGTAACAGATACATACGAAAAGGCAAGAGTTATCATAGATACGAAAGGCACAACTCATAGAGGATATGGCTTACGAGATGCATACATACGAGATTGATACAAGATACAAATATAAAGCTGAAGAAGTTAAATAAAGGCGTAGTTATATTTAATCAGCGTATGAGCATAAGAGAATAAATGAATATTCCTTAAACGTAGTAAAGAGCTATATGAAGCGTAATCGAGAGCAATACGAAAGGCGTAATGAAAGCGTCAAAACCTCGAAGGCAACTGGCCTGGGTCTTTGTTCTGCCGAGCTTAAATATGCGACGTTTATATACAGTTCCGCACGACGGGAATGTCGCCTTTCGTGAGAAGTATGAGGAAGGTTAGATCGAGATGAGAAAGTTAGGATGAAAGGATGTGAAAGTTAAGATAAGGAAATGTTTATGGAAGCGCGGCTCGATGCGTCGAGATTGTAATGGGAACCGTGTTACAGTATGAAGAAGCTAAGGTCGTGGGATACATGACTGATGACTGGCAGCTCCTTTGTTTGACTCGTAGTTGCACTTGTGTGGTCCTTAGAAGCTGCGAGGCGCCATTGTACCATGCCTTTCACCCTGGCAACTGAAATCAAGCCACTTTTTATGTGTTATGAGTCATGGTCAAGGTTGATTGATTTAATGAGAAAGTTATCGAAAATCGCGTATTACCGCTATATTCCCGGCGCCGATGACCGGGAATTAGTGCTGGCGTCGTAGTTCGTCAGCTAGCTCTTTGATGCGTTGGGAGTGGCAGTCCGCTTGCTTTTGCGCCTTTTCCAGTTTATCGCAGTTTTCCAACACCTGATCCGGCAATTCGCAGAGCGCGGAATTGTGACCTTCTTTTTTGCAATAAATGCACTTGGCATGGAACATGCGGCATGTAGAATTCCCAGGACACTGTTCCAGGCAGCGACCGCATTTCTTCTGATGCTGTACGAGTATGCGTCTTTCCCGAACCGATCTCACGCGAGTGCATGCGTCCGCTCGGTGGGATCCGGTCGCCCGACAGAAGGCGCACTTGATCGGCGGGTTTCGCAGAGCTACTGATCTTGGAAGTCCGCCGCCGCGGCGTCGCGGGGGACATGTTGGGAGGCTCATCAAGTCCTCTGTGATCCTTGCTACCTGGTTTGACGCTCTACGTTCCTCGAGTAACTCCGCTTCTATGACATGCCTCGGACGTTGAGCTGGCACCACTTCCTTTTGCTCACTTCCTATCTCAATCGCGCGCGGAGCTTCTTCGTTCCTCATGTCTTCTCCGTCTGATTCTGGTTCGTCACTTTCGAGCTCTTTATCCTCGTCCTCTTCCTCATAAGGTTCTTCGGGCTGGTCCTGATCGTGTCGTTGTTGCGCGGCGGCGCTCCTCCCGATCTGGTTTGCGAATGAATTTTTCTACGGTTTCTTGTATATTCTTGAGTGCATTTCTTACTTCGTCGTGGAATGAGATTTCTTCTTCTAATTGTTCCAACTGAAGTGATTCGCGGAGATCTGATAAATAGGCCCTGTGCCTATCGAGAGTCGCCATTAGCTCTTTTGCTCCCAGTTTGACCCTGTCGGGGTCAGTTGACAGGAGGTTCATCTCATCGTTGTAAAATGGTCGCGCCATCCATTCGTCCCAAATCGGCTTTGTGATGGCTCCAGTGGCGAAGAGCAGTGGAGGTAAAGCCACTAAGGTGGTCAAGTGAAGTTTGGTGGCAGCTAGGCGTATGCGAAGGCTCTCGATCTTGAGTAAAATGATGGAGACGCGATGTGCTCTGCATTCCAGCGACTTTTGCGATAGGCTAATAGTTTGGATGTGTCTGGACATGGAGGCGACATTTTTGGCGCATCTGTCGACTTCCAAATACTGGTTGATGAACCTCGCATACACCTCCTGTGGTGATGGGAGTGGAATGGCCTCACGCAGTCTCTGCAGCTGATCTTTAGTATCCTGGATTTGTTGTTGAACTTGTTCCATGTTCTGAAATTAATGTGTTGCTTTTTCTTGTTTTTGTTAGGGCGTCTCTTCCGTCGGCTTGTACATTCAAGAGTTTTCGGAGTATGGGCTTATGAGTATATACATATGTACATTTTTTGTGACAATTTTCTAAAACGGTGTCGTCGACCGCTCTAAGTATTTTTCTTATATTTAGTTTGCTTGCTCCTGCAGAGTTTTATAAGGGCGCATACCATCATTCGAACTGCGCGTGGTGGAATACAAGTGATTATCCACAGGAGCCGGAAGACTATTTTAAGGACGCCTGTCCCAAGAGTACTTCCGTATAGATAGATCAATCCTAGAACCAGTGCAGCTGCAATTAGCACGATGATGAAGGTTTTATACCAGGTCAAGAAGATGTCCATTATATGGCCAAAATCCGGCCATTCGAACTCGTTGAAGATGGTGCTGTTCGACTTCAATGATGTCAGATCCGGGTAATGGAAGGTATTGACATATTTGAGTGTTCCCCTCAGTGCAAACTCATTTTTTGTTTGGCCACATGAAATTGTGCAGTGTATGAGTTGTCGGGCTGAGTCAAGGTGAAGTCGTAATTCTGATTCTGGCCCATGGGGAGCACAGGGAATCACGAATGTGTGTGAGGCGCATAGCACCTCGCCGAAGAGTTCCTTCGATGAGACGCATCGAATTTTTGAAGTTGCTCCACCTGCACAATGGTAGCATCCCTGAAGTGAGCTATCTTCCACCAAGCAATCGCCGTCTCCTTGTTCTATGACTGTTGTGTCCCATGTTTGGTGGAATTCAACAATGATTTCAGATGACACCATGTGGGGTATTTTGGCAACTAATGACGTATTCTGTTGATATCGAAGTTCCCAAAAGGGTGTCTTTTTCGGTATTTTAAGCTGGAGTTGGTCGAATTCTTTGGTGATATCTGGCGTCGTACATTGACAGGATATCTTGAGTTCAGCCGGGGCGCAGTTACAGTCATCGGCTAGAATGCACTTCATTCGTTCTGCTTTCTCTCGTGATTCGCAGAGCAAATTTGGAGAAACGGCGCCTAAACATATTGCAGTATCTTGTCCATCGGTAAAGAACGTACTGCTTAATGCTGGTGTTGGCGGTAACGATAAGGAGGTCATTGTTATTTGAAGAGACGGCAAGGTGATTGGCATATTAGGTAATAGTTGAACGACATAGCTTTCTTTTCC